GTCTAGGTACTTTTGCAAAGCTGTTCTTCCCAGTAAAGCGTAATAATATAATTATTAGCCGAATGTCTTTCACATTCCTCCTCCTTTTATCATACGTATCCGGCTTTGTAAAAATTTATCATTTGCTAGAATAACGAGAGAGATGCGTAAAAACTAAATAAATTGATGATGGCAGCGTGGGGAGAGATTGCTGGCCAACTATTATTACTCGCGTCGTACTTTTTACGAATTGATAACAGTATCGCGTTGAAACTCAAACATGAACACCTGCTTTCGTACGATGTGCCGTTATACCGCTGAAATCATTATTAGTTTACGATCGTATTTCGCCCATTCGATAATTGTCATAGCCGCTTGGACGAATAACGAACATAAATTATTCCCCGGTGATTGAAAGATATCCGTGTGGCTATTGTGACCTTTTGACAAAGAACAAATGTCGTCCCAAATCTGGCGTCCTACGCTAGCGTTTTGCGTAGCAAAATGTTTCGCAAATGAGCCGAACAAGACTGCGGGGGATTAACGCTGTTTTCAAAAAGAAAAAAAAAAAAATAAGGATCACACGTCCCGGATTAATGAGGATGAGTGGTCGACACTCGGCATCGTGCGGCATAAACCAAGACAGATGCGAGTTCAGCGTGTGGTCCACGCACAATGTATGTTGTTTAATAATTAATATCATCTTCAAGGCTGAACTATGGCTGAAGGATGGAAGCGCGAATATCGTGATCACGTGACGCCGTATTAATTTGTCTTCGTTTGCTTGGCAGTCGTACTTGAAAGTCCTAATAACGCGGCGCTCTTTAATAAAGATGTTATCTTTTGACAAACATCATTGTCTAATTATTTGACAATGCACGTGGTGTTTGTTCTCGTTTGCAACAATAGGTGATCCACATTCCACGTTTCGTTCTTCGAATTCTTTGGGTGTTATATGGAATAACGCTGACGATAGAGTTTTATTGAAATTAATTGCAACTATGACTCTTACATTCTCTTGAAGGTTGTTTAATGAAACCAACATTTTTATATTACGGTATCGTTAATGATAGAATAATAGTATATAAAATGTTTTATTATTATTTTTTGAAAAATTGGGATTTTCTTAGGAGAAGAGACGATTCTTGATACTCGAGATATCAAGAATGTACATGTTCGAATTGATTGTCGAGTTATCGAGACTTATTAAACGCACAGCAATCCATTTGCACAATTTCCGCAATTACGATGGCCGCCAATTAACTAAAATCGGCTGAATGCGACATTATTATCGTGCCTATCCGTCGTCGATGCTGCCTATTCCCATCGAGTGGGCCCTTTGATAAATTTTATATTAATGCACGAATACATCAATTGATACACATATATCTCCACACATATGTCCCACACATTCGTAGAGAGAAACATGAATGAACGTGCATCGCTTTTAGATTTTTATTATGATTTACTTAATAAGATTGAGATTCAGAATAGGAATGAAATTATTGCGAAATGTTTATAATTCATCAAGCGGTTTTCACGGAAAATTAAATATTTTAAATCTATTAAAAAATTTATATCTTACATGAAGATATTCTTTTGGAATATTTATATAATTATAAAAATGAGAGAAAGAGAGAGAGAAAGATATCATTTTAATTTTAATTTTTAAATCTCATGCATTAAAGACGTGATTCTTAAATTTTTTAACTTTTTATTAATTATTAATAAAATATATTTACATTTATTATAATATTATTAATAAAATATTTTATTTAATTATTTTATTAATTGTTTTCTTTATTCCAGTGGAATATTAAAATAAAAGAATTTTTTCATCCTAATTTCGATATTAGAAAAAAATATCAATTTCAACAAATAAAAACGGCCAAAAATGCTCGATATTTCTAATGTTAAATATGAAGTTATAAAATGCTTTTAACGTCTATTACAACAATATGGCACTTTATATACTATGTGCCACAGGGACAACAGGGAGAATATACCTGAAAGCGACATTAAGACATTATCTCGCGTCTCTTATCAGAATATTAAGAATTATCTCGCATATCATTTACATTAAACTGTTATATAGTGGAAACTTCTTGTGCGATAGTAATCAAGAATGCGAACTTTGAAATATATTTCATCCCCTAAGCGAAGATTATACGATACTATTCATCGATTACAATCAGCCGGAATGGCGAGAGATCAGAATTAGACGCAACTCACGTTTAATCAAAGTTATTTTAATTAGGTAATTGTAATTTCAGAGCGGGGAAAGTTTCGACTTTATTTATCGAACGTGAAAAAATCTTTTACAACTTGTTCATAATGTTCGATTCCTCCTGCAATAATTCTATTTATAATTTAGTCTAAGTAATTTATACTTTTGTTAAATTTGTCTTTACATCGAAATTTTAGCTTCTAAGTAGGAGTTAGGCAATAAGCAAAACGGTATGATTAGTTAGAGAATCCAAGTAAATGTAAAAACTCTAATTGAGATCGAAAACAGAAGAAAAATTTCGATTCTGGTGGTCTGAAAAGGAGTACTATAAATTTGCGGAAATATAGAGTTGCCGAAAACTCTCTTACCGGCGAGGATTAATTCCTTCGCGTCTTGACTTGAAATACTTCTAGCAATATCCTGATACGTACGCGATTGAAAATGACTTAATTGCCGTTTATCACGATACCTATCGATATTCGCGTACATGCAGTTTCGTATGAGTGTTGAACGGATTTCTGTAGCGAGAAAACATCACGACAGAAATGCCTACCCTTCTTGCTTTTCTTGTATTTGTCAAGCATTTAAAATTATGAAACATGCTTTTCTTTCTCGTTAAGGGGTAGTTTAAAAAAAATTTTTAATCTCTACAAAGCTCAATGATGAAAATCTTTTCACTTATCATTTTTTCTAAATTACTTTGGCAAAAGCAAAGTAATAAGAATATGTCTTCGCCAGCTTTAGAGCGATCGAAAGGAAAACGTTCGCGCTCGAAATGTTCCATTGTAAGATTCAGACAAGAAAAGAAAAAAGAAAGAAAGAGAGAGAGAAGAGAAAAGAAAGGGAAATTAATACGAGCTGCTCGCGAGATGCAACATATTTATTCATTGCTCGACTATAAACGCGAGTATCGGGAAATAATATCGACAGCGATATTTTATGCCGTGGCTTTAAGCGGGAGAACGAGGGAAAATCATTTTCTCATATTCTAAAAACGCTCTTACGAGAGAAGACCTCTTTATGACGTGTGTGCTACGTGATCTGTACGTTCAATTTCGTTCAATCACGGTTGAGGACCGACAATAACGTGAACTTGATCGAGGACGGCGAAAATATATTAAAGTAAATAAGCGATAACCTACCGAATCCTACCGAATTCCTATTTACGCCGAGAAAAAACATCTTTTATCGCGTGCGCGTCGCATTTTTTTATTTCTATTACACTCTCCACTTGTAGATTTCTTTCTTCGAATATCATTAATTTAAGTAGTTTTCTCGGAAAATCAGGAAGAATTAAAAATAAAATCAAAGCGACTCGTATTTCTTTTCAGAAATAACACCTCCCGGCATTCTACAACGGAATAAGAATTAAGAATTCTATTCGCTTAATTTTCCTTTTTGAGGAAAACTTTTGAAAAATGATCGCGCTCGACACTCAACTGTGATTTGCAAATTTGCAAAATCGCAAATCGATGTCTTGTGGATTTTTTTACAACGAGACCGAATTTTCCCGACGGAGGAAAATCCAGAAAATTATTTCAAGTCTATTTGACGTCTATAAATGTATGCTCGCGTCGCGATAAGGATTCCGTTGCAAGGAGCTGCAACGTTATAAACGAGGCCCGGAGTCACGTAGCCCGCGTAAATATAGATTACATCGACGTCGCGGCGAAGGAACAAAGTTGGAGAACGAAATAGTTTTCCCGGCGAACTTTACGCAACGATCAAGGCCCATCCGCGATTGCGTAACGCGGGTAAAACGCGATTACATCGACGTCGCTCCGACGCGGCCGAACACGATACCGTTGGAATACGCGATATATCCGCGCGAATATTATACCGATAATTTAACTGATAAATGTAATTCAAAATTGGAACACGGCTTTGTGCGCGGGCGGCGCGCGCCTTCAAAATTCATTCGGCGACTTTGTTCCCTTTTCGACCTTTCCCCTTTCAGCCCGGTGCGATGGCGAACGGAAAACGGGAGCGAAGCCCGAGGAAGAGGGGGAGGCGAATTCTTGTCGATGTGTCTTCGGAAAGAAATAATAACACTGCAAATTGGTCGACGCGAACGGCGACGGTTCCGCAATCGTTTCCGCTCGCATCGGCAGATAAATTGTGGTAGAGAGCGTGGTCCATCGACTCGATCGTGGGACCAAACAAACTGACCTTTCGACCACTCGTTAGGACGTGTGCTATTTTTTGCTACCTCGTAAGGATACTATTTTTTGCTACCTCGTAAGGAGCTGCTTTTCCGCGTTTCGAGGAAACGATCGTATTTTATCCGCTGTCCCCCCCCCTCCGGGAAAGGGCGGTCCTCTCACTTCCGTGTCGATGCCGCGTGTCAATTTGGCCACGTCGATCCGGCTTGAAATCGGCTTAGCGTTGATTGCCGCACTTTCCGCTACAAGCTCATTATGAGTTCATTAAAATTTTATCGATTTTAACTTCGCACGAATCGTTCTCGACACTTTTGATTATTATCCTTACGTACGGACGCGTGTACCGTGACCTTTTAAGCGAATAATTAATAACTTCGAAATTATTAATAAATAGAAGGATCGAGCTAAGGAGCAAAGTGGAACTGCAAGTTCCTATGACAAATCCATAATTTCTTGCACACAATCAAACGCAAAGTACATGGTGTAATCTTAATCTTGGAATTAAATGAATTCAAAGCGTCCCGTTGATTTTTTTTTGTACAAATAAATTTAATTAGAAAATTATCATGTTTTGCTCGGTCTTGGTTTGTTTTATTTTTTCTTTTATAATATTTTTTCTTGATCTTTTTCAGACATTTGTGCAGAGATCCATAATTATCTTCGCCGTTCTTCTCTGTTACTATCAGTCCTGGGTTAGCGCAGTGGACTGCGAGTAAGTGTTCGCATTCTTAAGTTTCTTTCTCTTTCTCGAAATGAAATCGCGTAAACTGTAAACGGGATTGCCCTGTTTTAGACAAGAACCCTATCATCCCTCGTGCCGAGGTTCACAGCTGAGAAAACGCCTAACACCCTTGCCCGTTTTGCGCGCTGTAAATTGCGAAGAAGGTGACTGCAGATTCCCCAGAATGAAATTCTTGATTGCAATTCTCGATGACGTAAGTAGAATCTTTCGTTCAGATTAATAAAACACTAGCATTTATAGTAAGTAAAGAGAGAAAGAGAAAGGAAAAAAAAAGAAGAGAATTTAATTTAATCATTTATCTCCGATTTAATTTTCAGTTTATAATATTTCTATCAAAATGTAAAAATATAATTGACGTTTAATTTTTTACAGAGATAATTAAAATTTAATTATAATTATAATTTGTTTAATATTAAAGGTTTCACTTATTAATAATTCAATAAATGATTAAAATCAAATCCAGAATAGTTATAAATTATAAAATCAAATAGCTATTTCTCTCTCTCTCTCTCTCTCTCTCTCACACACTCATTTTCGTTTCTCCGCTAAAGATTATTTAAGATTTACTGAATTTTCCTCTGTTTTATAAATTTCGATAAGAATCATGCCTATTAAGGAAAATGATAAATGAATAAATTGATTAAAGCTAAAGTAGAATTTCGACTGATGCAGATTAATTTAAATAAAATTAATTAATAGATCCTTTTCTCGTTTATTTCAGACTCCTTCTAAGAACGAGGCTCATCCTTCCAATTCTGAATCCAACTCCATCCATTCGCGCAAGGATAGAATACGGGTGGAGCCGAAGGATTTATACGTGGACGACTATTGATTTGGCGATCACCGAAATTTATGTCGACGCGATTCGCACAGAAATGACTGACCGATCGACAACTTTTCAAACATATTATCTCGTCCGTTCGATTGCCTTTTATTATTATTATATCCGGCTTAATTGCGCCGTATTTCCTCTAATATCGTCTCTTCTCTTTTCTTCTCATTTCCTCTCGCAAGAATAGGCAGTGATAAATTACGTGCATGCACGCATGTTGTTAGCACTTTGATCTTTCGATAATAAACACCTGAATCGCACAACGGAGGATGCCAATTTACTCTTGATCTTGTAGAAGACATAATTACAACATTTGCGAATTAATTACGACGCCCCTTCGCGTCAACCCTTTCAGCACCGTGTTATATTCGCAAACGTAGAAATACAAACGCTTTAAATAGTATCGGACGGTGTTGATTAGATTAATTTTACAAAAAGTAATTATGATGATAGATCTATATCTATTCTTAATTCTTGCCCTTTCATCCACTGTAATATTTCAACACGTGTGCATCTATTAATAATTTGAGCAAAGTTAAATTGAGCAAGATAAAATTTCATGTTATTCATGCGTTATTAAATTTCCGATTGTTATCTGGCGAATATTTATTTTTCATACTGAAAGGGTCGAAGTCTATAGTTATAATTGCCTTTAAATATGTATGCGCATCCGTACATAAGGCATGCATAATAAGATAATCCGCACGTGATCGGCCACAATCGAGTTATTGTACATAAAGAGATGTAAAACGATGTTTATATATGTTGTTTCAAATTGTTTCGATTAACATTTCAAATAAAGTATATGTATATACTTGATAAAAAAAGAGGTTTGTTACATTATGCGTGTATACTTTTGAGCAGCAGCTAAAAGACGTACTAATTGCATCGCACAACAACCAATAAACTTCGATCACGTCATCGATATATTTATTGCTGTGAAAATTGTGAGTCTTTTTAAAAAGATGAAGCCTACGATTTCACCATGTTGCTATTGCCATTACCTTTATCTAGATTATTAAATTGTTTTCTTATCTTTTCTATAATAAATTAAAGATTAATAAGCTAGAAAGCAAATTTTACAATATTTCATTCGTAATTTATACTGTTTGAACTTGGAGATTGAGTCTACGATACAATTTATTTTTATTCACTTATTTTTTCATGAAACATCTATTTATTTCTAACTTAACAACATTTTTTTAAAGAGAAAAGTAAGTGGAAATATTTTCACAAAAAGTAATGTCGTTTCGGAAAAATAAGTTTTGTTTATGAAAGAAACAATTACTTTTTTATTTGCTTTAGAAATCTGTGATTTCTATTAGAAAACTCTTCTGACGTAGATTGTTTTGTTAATAATTTCTACGGACTATTATATTACAAATTTAACATTATTTTATTTTCTTAGAATTAAAATAAAAAAAAATCAATGGTATTTTTTTATAAATATTAATTAAATTATAATTAATTTATCAAAAAATGTCTATAGTATTTTATTAATAAGATAAAATTAATATTTCTCTAAATAAAATTATAATTCTATAATCTAAATTTTATTATTATAATTCTATAATCTAAAATTTATTATTAATTTTTTTATCATTTTTTTATGTGGAAAGGAAGTAAATTAGAACAAATAATATACTTAGAAATTTTACTTTAAATTAAAAATAAATCGTCAATTAAGTTAACTGATTGTCAATACGATTCAGCAAGAGTTAAAATCATCCTTGTTAGAAAAAGAAAACCAACCAAAATGAAAACAGTAATTTATCCGCAAAGAAAAATAAATACTCGATCATCACAAGCTTCATGTTTCGTGTAGAAGATGTCAGAGCGACAGCACATGTAAAATTTGAGGTTAAGTTTTAAACGAAGGAAAGATCGTGAGTATCAAACTTCAGATTTCAAATAGAGTTTGTCTCTTTTGATGTGTTAATCGAAACATTTCTTCACAGGGAGGATCCGCGGTATCTTTTACTGCCCACTTTTTCACGATGAGCGTGCTCGTGCGGAAGTTTCATCATCTGCGAGGAGTGTACCTGTCGCTGTTGAGGTTAGGTTGCGATAACGGCAGCTACTCGCACAGGGTTGTGCTCGGCGCGTCATCGAGATGTGAACACAACACCCCGAGCACGGCGTGGATCAAATCGGAAAGAAGCCAGAATTACACAACGCCCGCTGCCACCGTTGTCACCAACGAGGTTGACTACGTTGATGCGAACTTCGACACGGACGTCGATAGGCCGGAGAGAATCTCGGAGAACAAGTACGCTCACTCTCTGTTTTTGAACTCGATGAAGTACAAGAACATCGTGCTGCGGCCGAGCACAACATACGCCGAGGTCTCGAACGAGGAGGCTTTGGCGCTTTTGGAGATGAACTGGTCTTTGATGACAGGTACCGAGATAGTATCGGCCATCAAGAAGTTGTCTTATAACATTTGCCGTAACAAAAAGAAGATTGAACCATTTAAATATGCGGATGCCTTCAACGCACTGAATTTGAAATCGTTGACAAATGATGAACTGATGACAATAATGCGACACTTGGTACCATTCAGCAACCATCTAGAGACATGCGATTTTTACAACAATTTCTGTGTACGAGTAGATAGAGAATGTATGATACGTTTCCCAAAGTTGTCCATAGAAAATACATTGTTACTTTGTGATATAATATATCAGATAACACCCAAGAATTCATATGGATTATATAATTATCAATATGTCTGGCATTCTATTAGGAAGTTAGGCAATAAACCACATAAACTGCATCCTCAGCAACTAGTTCAGATTCTGTTCTTCCTAAATATATACCGGAAGCCTCCTATAAATATGTACGAGCTAGAGTATGAATTGGAGCAGTGTATGAACGAATTGTCGATTAATGAGTTGGCTGTAGCATCATTAGGTTTTTTCAAGACTAGCACGAAAATCAAGAGCAGGGATTTCCTAGATAATATTATCAAACGGACTATAGCCGAGATCGACATGGTGAATGCTGTAAGCATCGCGGCAATCGTTAAATTAGTAAGGTGAATTCAATATACCGAGTATTTCTTAGTTTGAAAAACACTTATTCCATTTTCAATGTTTTATTTTCAGGTATAGCATGCAACTTACCGAAGTTAAAGGTCTTCAAAATTTACTGAAGGCTCTAACGCCATATGAGCCGCGTTACACACTAATGTCTCTGGCGCATATAATGCAAGCAGCTGGAAGAGTTGCCTTGTATGATAGAGAACTCACGGAGAGAGTCATCAGAAGGTAAATTTATTCTTGCATCCATAATTTTTATTAATAATAAAAATCAGAATAAGTAACGCTCAAGAATGATGTAATTCTTTTACTAGATTAAATAAGGAAGTAAAAACCGCGAGATTGAAGGACTTTGAGAGATTGCTTTTCACTTTTTCTATTCTTAATATCGACTCGAGCAATAGTGTCTACCAGAACGTGATCGAAGATCTGAGAGCTACTTGGGACACCAGTCGAGCAAAGGAGATAGCAAAGTAATTATTGTCCAGTTATAAAACGATTTTTAACTCTCTGTAATTCAAACTTTTTATCAGTTTAAAGAAAATTATATAACTAGCAAATGTTGGTCTTGGAATATAAACTGACAATTTTCATTTTTTAAATTTTTATTTTATTATAAAAATCAGTCTTCTGATCTTTTTTTATTATAAAATCAAACTGCTTGTTACCAAAGAATGATACAAGAAAATACTGAAAATACTGCGTTAAATTATGATGAAAATGTGTATGATGTGAAATGAGATTTAAAAATATATGAACATGTGACTATAGAGTTAAATTAAAATATTATAGAGAGTTAAATAATTATATTTGAACTAGAAGTTATATTCCATTTTTCCTACTATTTATGACATTTTCTCGCGATAGGTTTCCATATGTAGTTTCACGTATTTTTGGGTATCTGTCGATACAAAATATATATCCCATAGATCTGATCAAACGTGTTATGGCACCTGAATTTGTAATCAAGACGTGTCGTGGTAACTATCATTATATCTCGCGTGAGTATTGTGTACTGGACTACAGCTTACAAATAGAAGTACCCGAGTACGACGGGCCATTCCTTAAGCCTAATATACGTGATTTCCTACAGAAGGTATGTAAAGAAACAATCACTTATATCGAATCGCTTACTACATGCAACAATTCGAGGAAAGATACATTAATAAATTTTATTATTACAGAAATATTATGATTTTCATCTTGAAACCTCAACGGAATCTACACGGACAAATGTCCTTTTCACAACCGTATTGGCAACATGCCAGGTACATATATATCGTCTTGAGAATAATCTTTTCCTTTGCACGTGTATCTTACATGAGCATCTCTTTTTAACAGGAATTATTCAATACCACATCGGACATATTACAAATTCGTCCACTACCACATTATACACCACAGGATATCGTCTTTTGTCTAGATGAGCAAAATCAACTTGTGTCATCAGAAAAGTTTTTTTCGCAGTTTGAAGTAAATGCTATTAAACGCGTAGACAAAGAAAATTCGAATAACAGATGGATTGCTCTTGTCATGGCTGCTCATGGACAGTTAATAAGAAATTGCCAGAAAACAAACTATCAGACACCTACTGGAGCGTTAGCCGCAAAACTGAGGCAGTTATCCATAATTGGCTACACACCGATCATGGTAAGTTTTGTAAGAAATGATAATAAACATAATCTATTAGAAAAAATAATACATGCGTAAATATTTTCATAAAATAAAAACGTAAATATTTTTCATATTTTTCATAATTTTTTGAACGTTGGAATACATACAAAGTTTCAATTCATTAATCAAATTTTATTATAATTTATTATAATAAATTTTTATTATAATTTTATTAAAATTCCTTACAATTATAACGCAAGTATAATGCTAATCACAAATGGCACTGGCACTCATAGAATTGGTCTTAAATGTTCTTAGAATGATCGAGATAAGTCAAATGATATTAATTAAAATAATGAAGTGTAGTATAAAAATATTAAAATAAATTTACAAATTTACAGATACCATATTTTATGTGGAATGATAAATCACCACAGGAACGATGTAATTACATTAAAGAACTTGTATTTCGAAAAAATATTGCTTCAGAATCGTCCAACAGGTAATAGTGCATAAAATGCATCGTAAACTGGGACATCTTATATATCTTTTATTAGGAAAAATATTTCTTGTAATATAAAATACTTCCTATAATGTATCATTATCAGTGTGTGTGTGTATATATATATATATATATATATATATATATATATATATATATATATATATATATT